TGAAAATTTGTGGCGACGTTTGAAAATTCCTGTAGGAAAAAAACGTCCACCCAATAAAAGACAACTTATTGAAGCTATAATTGTTTCTTGGCACCATGTGATTACAAAAGATGAACTCCAAACACTCGTTCACTCGATGAAAAGACGCTGTGAAGCTGTCTTAAAAAATAAGGGTTATCCTACTAAGTATTGGTTGTGTAAGTATCACTTTAAAAAAATAAAAATCTAAGATAGATCTTACTATTAGTTGCATAACTTTTTTTTAAATTCAGATATTGTAATACTGTATTTATTATTAAATTTTACATTAAATTACCTTCAATTTGATATATAAACGTTTGTATTTAAGTGAAAATTAATATATTCTACAAGCACACAAAGTTGAAAAACATGAAACTTTCAAAAAATGTCCACACTTTTGGCCACCACTGTGCATATATATATATATAAAATTTAAACGAACAGCTTTCAGAAAAAAGGAAGGGTGTCCGCCTCACGCTACTCCCATGGACCTGAAAGTGAGAGTTTCGTAACCAAAATAACAAAAATTTCCAAGGGTGTTTAATTTTCTATTTTTATGACTGCATGCTATTAAAATATTGGAATGATTTGAAGCATAACTGCGAGATAAAATAGGATTTACAGGATTTTTACGTCAAACAAATTAATTAAGCTTGGAAAGTAATGCTTGGAATATATATTTTTTTAAAGCTTTCATATAATACGCAGACAATTGACGTCATAAATTTTGGGTGGGTAAAACATTTAAATAATTTCAAGGACTGACTTTCATTATCGGTCGTAAAAATAAATTTGAAAAAAAAAATATTTAAATTTCTCTTACGAAACTTTAAGAATTTAGAAATTTTGACTACGGGGAATATATTAATCAAAATATTCACTAGCAAAGAAAATACCCATGAAGCACAAATTTTTTTTTCCATATTTCAGTAACATCTTTATCTATCAAAAACATAGCATTAATAATGCGTGCCTTCTGATAAAAGCCTACGAAGAAACATTGAAAATATGGCATTCAATAGAACGTTTTTAGAAACCTCTTCGACATTCCAGAAATATAAATGAAACTTTTTGATGAAAGTTGCTAGAAAAAGTAGCTTATAGCACTTAAGCAAGTACAAGATGTAGCCCCCGACTTAGTTTTAAAAAAGAAAAGAAAATATTGTCTTTTTTTTAAAAACCACGTGAATAAAAACGTTGATTTTTAAACGTTTTAAAACGTAACGGAATTACGTATATTTCAGTTTCATTTTTACTATAACTTTTGCTATGTTAGATGTAACAACCAGTAATATATACTTAAACTGTTGTTTATTGAACAATTTAAGAATAAAAAATTTATAGTTTAAATGAATCCGCTTTTTTCTTATTTCTTAAAATTTATTTCTGAAAAAAAAAATATTATATTTGAAATAAAATTTAAAACTACAATTTTCTACTTAAAAATAAGCTACATTTATTCAAAATTACATCAGACGTCATCAATGAAAATTCATATGTTTATTTACTTACAGCTCCTAACTTATAAGTCAAACTTGAAAAGGTACTTACGTTTGGCTTATTGCACCACAATAATTTGTGAAGTAACATTTTGTGTTCTATAAAACAAATACATATATTTAGTTGGAATTTGGAATTGAGAGTTGGAATACAATGGCATAAAAAATCTATTTATTTAATTAAAATTTAGGAAAATATTAATAACTACTTTTTCTGTTATTTTATATAAGCTCCTTAAATTCATTCGATAATAAATAATTAATGTAATATATGGATGGATGGATATTAAATTTAAACGAACAGCTTTCAAAAAAGTTGGTTGATATTTTAGCTTATTTATTTTTGAAAAATAGTTTTTAGTTAAAATAAAAACACAAAATGCTGCAGAAGTTATAATAACACATTTCTCTACTAGAGTGGTTGATGTACAAAAATTACAACGGGCAATATTTTAAGTATATTAATAAATATTTCATATTACTTAATATTTAACCGACAATATTTTAAGTTATGAAATCAAAGACAAAAACGTACTTTCTCTGAGTAAAACATGCCTTTTTTTTCCGACGGATTAAAATTTTTGGGCACCAAATTACGAGAGCTGCCACAATCTGGGAAATATGGTCCCAACAGTTAAACCAGGAGAGCGGTCAAAAGTTTGAGCCCTTTAATGTTAATTTTATTTTTTGCGCATAATGCCATATTTCGAGAACATTTAAAGCCGAAAATTTTTGTACAAAATTATAAAATTCGCTTATCCACAAATAATTCAATTCGAAAAATAACGCTTTAGAAACATTTATTATTTTTAATTACTTTATTTCATAATAGTCGAAAAAATTAATAATTAATTAAATAGTTCCTGAGAAATCGGATTTTAAAAGCACATCCTTTTTACAATTCAGTTTCTAAGGAACTATTCGACCGATTTTGTTTAAATTTTGTACTTTGCCATGAAAATTGCATTCTTTGAAATAATGTAAAAATTGCTTATCTTTTAATTCAAATTTTTTTCGACTATTATTAAATAAAGTAATAATAAATAATAACAAGTAATAAATATTAACAAAAATCGCTCTTGGCATGGAATTTTCTTAATATAAACGAATTTTATAATTTTGTACAAAAAATTTTCAATTCGCTTAAAAAGTTCTTGAGCTATGACGAAATACAGAAAAAAATAAAATTAGCATTAAAAGCCCCAGGCTTTGGGCCGCTTTCCTGTTCAAACTATTGGGACCATATTTCCCAGATTACGGTTACCCTCCTCATTTTGGGGTCATTTATCAGAATCTGCCAGGGCTGGGTGGGGGGAGTACATTAATTCATTTCTGTATCTGATTTTGTAACTTCAAATATCGTTTGCACTAATTGAGTAGAATATCTGAAGCCACCCCCTCGTACCATTAAAATTAACACCTAGAAAGTAAAGGTCCGATCATTAGATCACAAGTTATTCTAGGTGGTCCTTTTCTTAAAAAAAGTAAATAGGTTATATTAAGTGTTAAAGTTAGTCATTTTTCGATCTGTGTATGGAAAAAATCAAAACCATAACTTAATTTGAACTGGATGGATATTTCTTTAGGCCCAATTATAGCCTATAACATCCAATTATAGCCTATAATATCTACTATTTCTTTAAACATTTCTGTGTAGGTTTAACTATTTTAATACCTATCAGTAAAGCCTCACTCGTAATAGATCAAACCATCATCTAGTGGAGAATCTTGACCCATTTGCCATACTCTTGAAAAATTAATCGTAAAAAGAGAAGTTTATAATTTAAGTAAAAACTCATAATGTAAGCAGATTACAAGTATTATATGCTGCCATAAAATGTTAATTTAAAAAATTTTATTGTGAAAATATTTTTGAAAAAAAAAAACCAAATATTACAACAAGGAAATGCCCCGGAAAAAAAAACGATTTCGGGAGCTGTAATGAATTTGGTATTTAAATTAATAACAAGTTATTTTCTTAGTGTTTTTTAAATAATTTCAATTTGCCTTTAAAAAAGAAGCAAATATAACAAATTTACAACACAGCAATTAGCTTTATCGTTTTCCGTTCTTACATGTAACCAAAACTCTTTTAACTAAACTCAATGATTCAACATGAACGAATACTTTAAATCGTTACATCGTTTTCAGTTCTTACATATTAACATTAGTCAATTTACTAAACTCAATGGTTCAACAAGAACGAATATTTTAAATCGTTTTAACGTTTTTTGTTCTTACATATCAACATTATTCAATTTACTGAACTTGATGGTTCATCAGGAATGAATATTTTAAATCGTTTTAACATTTTTTGTTCTTACATATTAACATTATTCAATTTACTGAACTTGATGGTTCAACACGAATGAATATTTTAAATCGTTTTAACGTTTTTTGTTCTTACATATTAACATCATTCAATTTACTGAACTTGATGGTTCAACAAGAATGAATATTTTAAATCGTTTTAATGTTTTTTGTTCTTACATATTAACATTATTCAATTTACTGAACTTGATGGTTCAACAAGAATGAATATTTTAAATCGTTTTAACGTTTTTTGTTCTTACATATTAACATCATTCAATTTACTGAACTTGATGGTTCAACAAGAACGAATATTTTAAGTGTGTACTTGTTTAGTGCAGTCAAAAAATATATATTTTACAATTACCTTATTGACGTCATTTTTGTATTGATCAGGTATCACTCTGAGACTATTATCCAAATGCAAATCTGCAAACAAAGTTTTAAGAAATTATAAATACCGATAATATCATGTGTTTTTAGACATTAGGTTTATTCAAAAATAAATTCATTATATATTCGATTGAAGAAATTTGGAGTTAAAAAAAATTAAAATAGGAATCTGTAGTTTAAAACAATTTTTGTTTTGTGAATTTTATACTAAAAAAAGTAACAATGTAGTAAGCATTAGAGAAATATTCATATTTAAGGTTGGAGTAACCTTAAATGTGAATATTTCTCTAATTATTAAACTGCAGTTAATTTTTAAACTGCAATTTTTTGTGGTCCACATTAAGGTTATAGAATTCACAATATTACGATCGATTTAATAATTGTAATAATTCATCACATTTTCATTGAACTGGCATTATTTTAACTGACATTGACATTATTTTATAAATATATCATTGTTTTATTTGTTTTTCAAATTGTCTTCTATTTTGTAAATGAGAGAGATTAAATTTTATACTACAAAATGTTAGGAGATGGAGGCGTGAGGTAAATGTTGCTTCCGCATATAATTTAAAGCAATTGTAAAGTGTTTTTTTTTTTCCTTACTAAAAACTGCAACTTGCGATTTGGAAAAAAAAAGTGTTAATTGTTACTTTATTATTAGAATTAAATAAAAAACATTAATTTATATAATCTTTACACATGAGTGAACAAGCTTCAAACGATGTAAAAGAACCACGATAGTTTAAACGAAAAATAAAAATAAAATCTGATTTTTATTTTATTTAAAACAAACTTTTTTTTCCTTCTTTCTTTTTCTTACCTTTTTTTAATCAAACTGTTAAATAATAATACTAAGCATAGTTTATTTTTAAAGTAATTAAATCATTTTAAGGTCATTTTAGAGAGCAAATTTTAATTACACGTAAATGAGAGTTTATAAAACTAGAAAAACTCGCTTGGCCCCCAACCCCTTTAAATGCCCGGGCTAAAGAGAAGAGACATTCTCTCATAAACTCTGCTTAAATGCTTCGCAATTATTTTTGTTTTACATTGTGAAATAAAAGTTTTTGATTTAAAAAAAATAGTAAATTTAGTCTATTTTAAACATTTTATTTTTTTACTTATCATACAGTAACGTATATAGAAGATATACGTACAACTCCTAAGGTTTATGCCAAAAAACCACCAAAAATATAACTTTATGTCAGATCCTTAAAAAGCGAATCCTTAAAAAATGCGAGCAACTTTTACACTTAGAGAAACAGTCGTTGTAACTGTAAAAGTTTTCGTGAAAAATACTGACAGTAAAATAATTTATGTGTATAACTTACCAATAATTTTTCAATATCCTATCTATCTATAATTAATAATTAACAATTATCTTTAACGTTCCAATACTTTTTTATTAATTTAACTATTCCTTCAATACATAATTTATTCTTTATATCATGGATGTCTGTTTTCACTTAATTATAATATTTTCAATTTAAAAATTTTCCGATGAATTCGTCCTATTTATTTTTTAAAAGTCAGAATTTTATCAAAAAAATAACAATTATTACTTAAAATAAAGTTTGAAATGGTTATTTGATTAACCCTCGTACTACTGATGTAAGCCTGTAACGATTCAATCTACAGATGTAAGCCTGTAACGATTCAATCTACTGATGTAAGCCTGTAACGATTCAATCTACTGATGTAAGCCTGTAACGATTCGATCTACAGATGTAAGCCTGTAGCGATTCAATCTACAGGGCCAATTTGTCGGAAGTAGAAATGTGGAAATGGTTGTTGCACGTTTCTGTAAAAAAAAAAAAAAAAAAAAAAAAAAAAAAAAAAAAAAAAATTGAGAAAAAAAAAGAAAAGTAAGAAAAAAAGAAGAAAAGAAAAAGAAAAGCATCCGACTTGCACCGATCACAGTGCTGACGTGAAATATCCTCAGTGGTAGACTGATCATGGGTTAGAGTTCCCTTGCCGTCAGGCTAACCTTGGGAGGTTCTCGTGGTCTTCCTCACCGTGTAACGCAAATGCGGGTTAGCTCCATCAAAAAGTACTCCATGAAGGCAAATTTCTTCCAATACTCGATCCAAGAGTTCCCTTGTCTTCTGGATAGGGTTCGAAATTGCAAGGTTACGGAGTTGAGCATTAGTAGTCGTAAGCCCATAAAATTGGGTCGGCTGTTCAACGACGGTTATAAAATAAAATAAAATGGTATATACTTGTAAATTGTTTATTCATATCTTATTTAGCACTATTTTTCATTCTGTTCTAATTTGATTACGGAGATGTGTAACATTCATTTGTTGAAGTTATTTTCAACTATTTTTAACTTTTATTTATAGATTTATTTCTCTTACGAGACCCCCAAAAGAGCGGGTATCTAAATTGGCAACACTATAGTCACCTGTTACAACTCATTTTGTGAGGTTGTCTATAGTAATAATTTAAATAGTGTTAAATAATTAGTTCAACGTTAAGTATTAGGTGGACCGGAAAGTAATGTCGTTTCGGTGCGTTTGATATTTGTCATCGAGATTTCATTTTTAATCAATAATGTATTCACTCTCGTTAGCCACAACCTCTCAATACCGGATCGAAAATGAATCGAAATGGATCGAAAAAAATTAATTGGTTTTTAAAACTAACGAATATTTAATGCGCCGAAACGACATTACTTTCCGGTCCCCCTAGTATTTGTTTAGATTCCTTTTGTTAGGTTGTCTTAATAATTTAAGTAGTGTCAAATAGTTAGTTAAGCATTTATTTGGAAACATTTTGCTAGTTAGTCTTAAATGATAGTATAAATGGTGTTGAATGATTAGTTATACGTTAAGTATTTGTTTAGAATAATTTTGTATTTTTATTGAAATAAAAACTTAGTTATGAAATTAGTTTGATTTATTTTTTATCCTTTTTAAAATGGCTGTAGAGATTTTAAACTATGATGCAGTCATACCAATTATTAGATCGAAAACTTGTTTTTTTCGATCAATAGCAGATAATTAATTATACGATACTCAAGTTATAACTCGAGAGGTTATCCCAAAATCATACTTATGTTGGTTTGTGAGATTTAGTGTCTGCCGAACATGTTTTAAATCAATACTAAAATTCAATATTTAATAAGTTCTCTAGAACTTTGACAATATCGCGTACATCTCTTGAAAATAGCTTTAAATTGAAATCATAGTAGTTGAAGTCGAAACCGCGGGCAACAGTTAATACTATTTATATTTAACTTGTTTTGTCATTTCAGAAGTTTTTAATATATTTTTATTAAAATGAAAAGTAACAATAGTGATAGTCTTAAAGTAACAATTCTATTTTAAATTAAAAGCTAAAACTAAAATAATTCTATGATATTATATTGTTACGCAACATTATATAACAAATGTAAATTTTTTACCGTCCTTAAGAGGTTAATAATAATTTTTGTAAGATATGTTTGTTTTTTAATAAATTATATTGGTTTTTTGATATATTTTACGTAAGACTGTATACCAACTTATAGTGAATACATATTGTTATGTTGACTATATATAGTCAACCTATCGAATTAACTATTAAAAAAGGTGGAATTATCTATCAAAAAATAATATGATTTAGCTATTTACACTATTACTAAATAGTGCAGAAAGTTAATCTAAAATGTCAAAAGTTTTAACAAGTTTCAATAATAACCAAAAATTAAAAAAGAAATTCAAAAAAGTTTAAAGCTAAAATTACAATGGCAATCGTGCAAAATCGTTAATTTTAAATTTTATCCCAAAGTCAATCAAAAATTAAATTTATTACCAAAACTGTATTAAAGGAATAAAACATCTTTTAATTTTTTAAAACATATATAATTTTGGTTTTTAAATCGGTTCATGAAAAAGAAACAAAAGTGATTGCGAAACGATATTGCGAGCATTTTTAAAATCCCCCTAGTTTAAAATAAAAGTAAAACTTATCTCACCTTTGCTTTCATAGTCAAATGGATCCTTCATCATTTTACGTTGCTCTGCATCAATTTGAAGCCATTTTATGAATTCCTGATGTATTTTCCTATGTCGATCATAAATTAACGAAGATGAATAACATTTTGTATTAAAAAAATATCTAAAGTTACAAATCATTTCCAATGATTGAAAAACTTAGTAATCTTTTTATCCAGAATCTGGATTACTCATTAACTTGAATAATAGTGAGTGTACATCATCAAAACCTTTACAACTCTCTTTAATCACTCTTTAAGGGCATTTTTTGCACTTTTTAAGGGCATTAATTGGGATTTTTTAGGTCATCAAAATCCGGGCTCTAATAATAACTAAAGAATTAAACATAGACGTTTGGTTTTTTTTTAGTTTTGTGAGATTTATTTTTAAAAAATTGCATTGTAACATGCATTGCATTTAATTTTAAACATCAAAACAATTCAACCATTTTGTTGGAACGCGGCTAGTTTTATCACATGAAATGTCAAAACAATCAGAATTGAGAAACTCCATGCAGAATTTAACGGCAAAGTTATCGAAATCGGCTCACTGATGTATCTTAGAGTTGTAGAACAGATGCTAAAATTTTAATTCGAAAGAATGGGATTAATTACCTTTCATTGATTATGATATCTTTATCAGTTTGATATAGATAAAATACAAAATTAAAGGAATATTTTAACTAAGAACTATTTAAGGATTAACTATTTTTTATACGATATAAGTTCGTAATGAATCAGATAGAGCTAAATCGAGTGTAAACATGTTTTCATTCACCGTTTGCTAAAATTACCTTCAAAAAAAAAATTTTTTTTTGTTCCACTTCTACACCAAGAGGTCTACAAATTTTAATGCATACAATTAAAAAAATTATCAGGAGGAGAAAATTCAATGTGACATTGAAACAAATAAAAAAAAATGGCTTAAAACTTCTTTTTACCTCGTAATAACCTCGCCCTTGTAAGATTTTTTAACAATTAAATGCGGATAACATAAATACTAAGTTAAAGGAATATTTTCACTAAGGACTATTTTAGGCTTAACCGCTTTTTTATTCAATATAATGTTCGAAATAAATCATATTGAGTTAAATGGAATGTGAACATGTTATCATTAACACTTTGCTAAAATTACCACCAAAATCCTTTTTTTGTTCCACTTTGACACTAAGAGGCCTACAAATTTTAAAGCATATTGTAAAAAACAATTATCAGGAGGAGAAAATTCAATGTGACATTGAAAACAACTGGCAAAAATAGCTACAATCTTTCTCTCTTTTTTTTTTTTTTTTTTTTTTGCCTCGTAATAACCTCGCCCTTGTAAGATTTTTTTCAGCAACCAATTTTTTTTTATTCGAAATGAGGTGAAATTTAAAAACACAATTCGGTAATATTACCCTCACCCACGTCAAACAACAAGCAAAAAGATCCTTGAGACTAATCATCCGCTATATTAAAATTGTATTCTCCCGTATCCATAGTGAACGATTGTTTTCAGCCAACCATGAAATCAGTACTATTTTGATTGTAGAATTGAAGTGTTACAGAGCTTGTCTCCAAAATTATAGCCAGTGTGGGTGGTTTGTAGAATTTTTTTACCCGTTTTGTTTTGTTCAGAGGGAGTTCTAAACAAACATTTTGACACTCAAAAGTGATTATTTTTCTAATTAGGCGTTCTTTTTCCTCACCTGAAAAGCAGGAATCAGTACTCAATGTCACTTTGTTACATAAAAGCGCCATTTTGCACCTGCCAATCAAAGTAGGATATATGGAATAAAATACCATTTATAAGGCACTTTTTCGTTTAGCAGAGAGATTTATTGTCAAAAAAAGGCGTTATTGTTGGCGTATTCGGTGTGAGTAAGGAGTTATTTTTGTGACTATAGTTATTGTAGTTGTACTATATATTTAACCAATGTATTCAGATGTATCGCTTTCGTTCAATAATGTGCAATTTGTAAACGTAAAAAAATATTTCTGAAAAAATTGAAGGACATTTGTCAGTAATTTGGTAAAACTCGATAGATTCTGGGAAAAAGAAGAGGCTGACGTTTTACAAAACGACCACATGTAAAAACGAAAATTGGTAAATTTTTTCTGGATATTTATTATTTATTCTATATTTTTGGTAGAATTTTTCTTTTGAAGTTATGCTAAACACATATTTTTAATTACCTTCAGTAAAATTCTCGAAGATTCTTGAATACTAAATGTTGCTTTAGCGGAATTTTCAAATTTTTAAACGATTTTAAAACACAAAACGGTTTTTTTTTTCCAAAACATGATTTATTTTTAAATTAAATCTCCTATTCAATTGATAATGATAAGTAATTGGGTACTTGCACTTCAAGAAAACGATCACAGATACTCACTTATGTGACCTACTATGACGTCGGCACCAGCTGATCATTTATATGCAAAATGGCGTGTTAAAGTTAAGTTTCTCATAATTTAGAATGTTAATTAACGTGAAGTTAATTAAATACAGCTCTGTATTGCACATCGAGTTTGTTGAAATATTCTTTCTCGATATATTCATTATTTGTTTGCATATTTTATTGTAACAGTGATGTATTTAACACTTTACTATGTGTACATGGTAGCTTTTATGCATAATTAGTTTATGTTCTGCATGGCTTCATGCTTTACTTCTTATTTTGTGTTAAGTAAGAAATATATAATGAAAGAATAGAAATCTTTGTGAAAGAAGATAGAATGTGTCACTTAAGATAATTGATACTTGACGGACTTAGCTTAGTCGGAATAAAATGAAAAAAACAGTTGCAAACGTTAACAAATGCCGCGTCTCAAAAACCAATCAGGATTGAGATACCCACACTACGTCACTTGCAGGCATCCCATTTTGATCCTTAGAGTAAAAATTTTAATCATTTGCTTTTACTTCATTCTACAAAAAAAAATTATTTTCGTAGCAAATTTTTTTAAATCAATCATTAGCAAAACTCTATACATATTCAAGAGTTTACCGTATACACTATTTTGAACAGTTTAATTAAATTTGTAATGATTCAATTTAATGACTCTTCAGGAAATTTTATAAATATTAAAATACTTTTTAGCTTTCAATTAGATTATTTCTTCCAATTTGGTAAACGCTAAGTAAACTATTATGAGCCATGCACTTTGCCATGAGTGCTATTTTCTTTTCGATTTATATTGTTACCAATTTTTTATCTTTAATAATTATTTTTATTTAAGTAAAACCATAACAAATGCTCAAACAAAACCAATACTCGTTTATTTCTGTTCAATTTTAGAAGTGCTTAAAAAAATCACAAGTTCCTTGAGAAGAAACCTTCTTTTAATTTACTGAAAACATTTTGCCGTATAAGCTACGTGTAGCAGTTGACAAAACACTTTCAACTGGAAGAAAATTGATCAAAATAGTGATAATGTAAAGTGTTGTACTAAGTGTAAAAGTGATTAAGGATCAAGTGATAAAGTTTTTGCGTACTTACGTATTATACCGACGACCATTTTCGCTGACATCGCGCCAGAATCGTTTTCATATCTTTAAAATTTATTTCAATATAAAAATTTATTTTAAAAACTTAGCAAAATTCAAATATAACTTATTTCAAAAAATGCGATAGTATTTAAATTTGAACCATTTCCAAATTTATTTTCAGATTCGATAAAAATGGCTTTTGGTATAATACGTAATAAGCAAATAATAAATAATAAGCAAAATGCAATAAACTAAAAAAAACAGAAAAAAAACAGCATGAATTAACTAGTGGAATCCGTTCATCGAATTCATTCACAGATAAAATTCTGGAAAGAGAGTAATGTGGCACAACTACCACTATAAATATTAAATACCAATTACCCAGTATATAAGACATGTTAACTTGAACTCAACAGTTCAAAACAAATGTCTTAGATCATATTTCAAATTTTATTTCTAAGCTTCAATTGTGTGTCTCAATTTTAATCAAAATGTGCGATATCCCTCATTGCTCCTTCCGTCCCCCCTTTTCCCAATCTGTCTCAATTTCAAGAACCCTCTCCCTTCACTCGCTCTTTGATGTTCCAGAAAGTTTATTCCTGGTTTAGTTGTTAAAACTACTGTTGAACGTTGAAAAAGTCCAATTCGATCTGTGTCCATTTCCTTAAACATGCATTTTGAACTATTTTCTTAAATGCACTATCTTTATGAAATTTATAAAAAACTCACCGACAAAATATTGAATTACTCCAAAACTATTTAAAAAAAATTTAAAAAATTTACATTTTACTCTTTTTTTGGCACAAGAGTTCGTGACGCTGAAATATCATAAATCCCTTGGTATTATAGTTTTTGCTTAGCTGAACTGACCGAATTATACTAATTAATAAAAATGCCTTAAATTTAGACATAAAATAATTCTTAAAATAGTAACAGCATCAAAAAAAAATTTCATATTATATTTTATAACCCCTTAAAAATCGCATAATCTTGAAGAAAACGGTCATTAAAGTGTCTTTTTTAATTAAGAAAATTATATGAAACTAAATGTATTTACGAAAATTCTAAAAATTTATAAAATTTCGCATTTATTCACCCAATAGGCTTCGCGTCATGAGAGCGAGAACCACTTGTTGTAAAAAAATTTAAAACGGCTGCAACAGCATTTAAAAAATATATCGGGGAAAATTGGGTAAAACCAGGCAGTTACTATACTGCCTGGTCGAATCGAATCAATCGTCTCTAAAGTCGGTCTCCAAAATCGAGTAACTCGATTTTGGCGAAATTAGTTCTCTTTTCTAGCTGAGAAACTCTCAAATACATTTTACTAGACAAGAAGAAGAGCTTACCCATATTAGCGTGTTGTTGCTAATTAAATAATTCACGGTGTTTGTGATGATAAAATTGTTTTACTATGTCAACTATCTAATGTTATCTAGTTTTCAAAAAATTCGTATTTATTGGTTAATAGAGTTATAAAAAAAAAAATTCTGGCCAGCTTATTATACGTTTAAGACTCTAACCCGAACAAGCAACTAGGATTTCGTCCAACAGTAGTACTGTTCAGTTTCGTTGCGATAGCCTCTGCTCTCGGGATAAGAGCAAAGGGTGATTTCGATTAATGTATGTTTATGCTGGGTCCACAAAAGCTGCTGGGCAGCGGAGGAAGACAACTACATCCAAGCCTGCACAAAGGTTTCACTGGAACAAAAATATTTATTGCGGGCCTTTCTTCGAAACACGAAAAGCCTTATTTTCATATTTTGTAGAATTTTCTAAGATCCTTTTATCGAAGTTTTTATACATATATAAAAAAAATTATCTGCAATTTTTTTCTTTGATATATTTCTTTTCTTTCTTAATTTTGGACGGGCATTTAGAGGTCCGTAGCTAAAATGCTTAAAATTTAAAATTTATATTTTGAATTTTAAACTTTTTTTATTCGATTATACATACCTTATTCTCCATTCAAAATACGATACTCTTCTTGATTAATCGTTAGTATGTCAGACAACAAAAACTGTTTAAAATTCAATATTTATAATTTTCACGTAAAATTTTGAATCTTATCCTGCTTTTCTTTTATTGATATAATTTCTCAAAAGTTTATTCATTGTGTATTTTCCGCATTTCTCTCACTAAACCCATTTTTAAGAAAATTTCTGTAGAGAAAAAAAGTTTAGAAATAATATGAAGTAACATTTCTGCATCACACTGGGTCATAATTCTGTCTGAATGGCCAAAACTTTCCCAATTTGTTTGTTTTATTTGAAAAAAACTAAGAAGTTTTCATAATTGAAACATTATTTTTGTGCGTAATATTACATTGTGTGTACTTGATGTTTTTTATTTCACTTAACGCTTGTGCAAAGGTTTTTTTTCTACTACAAATATTATATTAATTAATTGAGAATAAGAAAAGGTTCTTTAAAATAACAAAAAAAAGATACATTATTTGAAGCTTTAAATTCATTATTCTACTTCTGACTTATTATCATACAAATAAAAAATTAATAATAATAAACTATACGCCGTAGTGTAAGGAAAAATAAACATACAATATTAATACTAAAAATTTCTAATTAGCTTTTACATTCAATTAATTCCATGTATTTATGGAGTCTTCCATGTATTCTACTTTTATTTTATTTTTATTTTTTTTTTCTCTTTTCCAGCTTTCTTTCCTTCTTCTGCATCTGGCATAGTTTAAAATAATATTTGAATTATGTACCCTAACTATCTTGAATATGGTGCAGTATAGCTGCATTTATTCTCCTATGTTCTTATTCTCAATGCTAAAATTAATTGACTCTCTATACATTATTGTGTTGTCCTTCCATAAATCTGATTTTGTAATTTATAATTCGACATTGTATCATTAAGAAAAGAAAATCGCCAGTTATTATGAGAGAAATACTTCTACCAAAAATAAACACATTAGCAAAAAATATAAGTTACGTTTAATTATTTTTAAACTTTCTTTTTTCTAGCTGTCCCAATTTTCCTTTTCAAGGTTATGCGAAAGTGAAGTTCAACATTCAGTAATGTTCACTGAACTGGAACAATTTCCATTTCAGATTATTCCAACTATAAAAGTGAAAAGTCAAAAAATTAAATTATTCTTTTTTGAATTGGCATCGCTCAATAGTGCATGAAGTCAATCCATTTATTTAGTAAATCAAATGTTTGTCGGATGTCTTTGAGAAAATAAGCAACTCTCGTAGATTTTAAGAAACATTAAAGGAAATCTACCTAAAATTCGGATAAATAAATAAAATTTCAAATTCAGAAATGGTGATACATGACTTAGAACACATATTTACATGTATAAATAGTAAAATAAAATTTAAATAATTCTAACACTAATATAATAAGACTTACGTTAAATATTTTTGCTGATAAAACTAATCCTATAACTTTTTTTACAGGTACACTAAAGTTTCACTAGATGGCGCATCCTGTTTTTAGTGCTTTTCGTTTTAGGTCCGATTGCGTAATAACTGCAACCATACTCAGAAGCTTTGTTTTGTAAACACAACCATGTTGTTCTGTTCTCACTTTTTTAACTCTTGATTTACAACTAATTTTAAAAAAGCACAGAATTTTAAAATTACATTAATTATCGGCTTTTAAATGGAGAACTCTGAAGATCAACTAATTGAGAGACAAAATGTGCTGTACCTCAGTAATATTAGCCGTAAAATAAGTTTGACGTGTGCGGCTGCATCTCGTTATTACATGTTAGTGATTTTATTTTTATCATGGGGCCCCACTGTCATAATATCTCTCTTTTATTAAATTAAACGGGATTTTTTAAATATTTAAAATTTTTAAATGGTTCTAAGTGAAATCAATCTTATGTTAATGTGATAAATCTTTATATATATACTTAATTATTTCTTTTTATACTGACCAAAAAAATTAGCATTCTTAAATATTACAATTTTATGATATTTTTAAAATTACTTTGTTGTTCTAATTACAAGCAAAATTAGTTTTATGAATCTTAGTCAAATGATTGATTTTGAATGATGGTTATTTCATGTAAACAAAATAGATACAATTTAACCATCCGTGTTGGGTGTAATCTACAATAGATAAGTTTTTGTGCAATAACCAACTATTTTCGTCTAGAATATGTATTAATCTGCTATTACGAATATTAACAAATTCACTTTTCTGACTATGTAATAAGCATGGTATCTTTATGCATACTGACAAAAATAAATTGTAAACATAAGAAAATGTTCATCTTAAGTTGCATATTAACAAATTCGAGCCAATTCCTGTAATTGTTTCAAAAAAGTAATTTGTTTATTATTTTTATAACTTTTTTATTTGTGTAAAAAAAAATTATGATGCAATAACTGTGCTTTTAAAGCCCTCCTTATCATTATCTTTCTCAAAATAGCCCCTAGATTTTGACCCTAACCGGCCAGTGACGGGAAAAATCTTTAAAAAAATAATCAGAGAATCATGCAAACTAGAATCATAAAGCTCGAACTTCAAGGCATTTTTTACATCGATTTTACAATCTACTCATATAATTTTTGTATTTAACATTCTTCTGTACATCACACAGACATAATTTTTCTAGCAAAATTGAACAGAGTTTTAGAAAACTTCAAAATGATTATAAAATTATAAGGTTACCAAAATTTTAGATTATGGGTATATCAGGGGTCTGTCCAGGCCGAATTTACTACCGTTTAGCAGTACCTTCACAAATTCAATTTTAGGAAAAATGGTAGTTTCACAAATTCAACATTAGGAAAAACGGTAGTTTCACAAAATACGTTTTCTTAAAATTTTATTTTTGTATCCTTAAGAAACGATAAATCTATATCTTTACTTTGTTTTTGTGTTGATTTTTTAATTTTTCACAAATTATGGCTAAATTTTCACAAAATAGGTACCTCTCAGAAAAACCTAGACAGATCCCTGGATATAGCTGTGTGTTCACAGTAGCATACGTGCCAGAAAAAGTCTTTTAATAGTGTTAACAAATAACACTATAATTGTGTTATTTGTTCCATAAATAGAATACATTTTTGTGATTGTTATTTATAGTTCAAGTGTGAATAATTTATGTAATAAGTATTCAATTAACATTTTATTACTCTCCATTCTTATATTTGATTTTTATTCCAGGTTTAATTCGAAGAAAATTATAGATAAGTCATTGTGTAAGTATATTTATTAAATTCTACCAACTTATTAATTTTTACTACATTAAACTGTTTTAGATATTTTCATGATGAATCTTAAAGATGTTAATTCTGTATTATTTGTATTTGTAAGAGAAAAGCTCCTCCTAATGCACAACATATGATCTTATTATTTTGTAACTTAGGAAAGTTAATTGCTAAGTGAGCTTTCTGCTTGAACATAAATGTTTGCTTGAACTTTGCTTCATGTAGGAACAAACATTGGTTATGAACAGCCTGTTTTTTCCTCACACATATATAAACGATCAAAGCTCATTACATAACAGAAGTGGTTGAACCTCATTCCTAGCTTTGAAGATCAATAATGGATTAAATAACTTTCTCAGTTTTTATGTAAATATTAAAGAGTCTCCACATCATGTGTTGCTCATTAAATGAAATCATTGAATACAAGCAGTTTAATCATTCTTGTACCTTAGTTATCAAATTACATTTTGTACCAAATATATTATTTTAAATGCTTATGTGTATCTAATTTCCATTTTGTCTAAAAATATATTTCCTTTGTAATTTTATAGTAAATCTTAGCTCATTTATGTAATTGTAAACATTTAGCATTGTCTTAATATGACTAACTTCTTGTTTGTTTTGATTTTACTTAGTTATTGTCTACTTAGACAATGAAAGAAGTTAAAATTTTGTAATTGTAAAATTTCATGATAGAGGAATCAAAATTATTCTATTTTTTAGTTATTTAGACTATCTAATATAAGGGGTTTTTTTAATACAAAAAAAAACACTTGGGTATTTGTAAAAGAAAGCTAACTTAAATTACACAACATTTGTAGGATAAATCACACAACAAATTACAGTTCTGTTCTTATATTTTTAAATAGCATGTTACAGAAATATCAAATTTAATTTTCATATTTTACTAAACAGACTTAATGCTACTTTCAGGGTGCGGCAAATAAAAACTCACAAACAATTTTTAGTATAACTGAAGTAGCCAAATGTAACAAATAATAACAAGAGTAGACTTTTACTAATAAATGAATTTAATTGGTTTCTAAGTGACTGCAGAAGCACAAATGCTTTTTGAAATTTTTAGTAATTGGCCACAAAACTCCTGTCTTTAATTTATCTTGCTTCTGCCAAAACGATTGCTTTAGAGAGTCCAAATTTTTTGTGTAGTTTAGTGCAGGTCCTAGACTCCAAAATATTAATGTCTCCAAATATCCTGTAGTTACATAGGATTAAGATCTGGTATCTAACATAACCATTCTTTGAAACCAGTTAAATGTAATGTAAATATAATTTACCAGTCAATAAGCATTGTTTAGACTACTTGGTGTAATTCATTATCATGCTTCTTTTGCAGCAAATACAAAAGAAATCAAGAAACACCAATGTTGTGAACATTGTGGTAGCTTATGGTCGCCAACTAATCACAAAGTTAAGATTCAGCCAGCTGCCAAAAGGAATAACCACATTAAAAAGTTGCTGAGGTGGGAGACTGAACAACCCTGGAAATTAAATAATCATCAAAAGAAGAAGTTGTTAAAATATAGGGAATCTAGTACTAAAATTGTAAGCAAATTTTGTAGTTTTGCATTAGCGTAACTACCAGTACAATTATTTAAATCCTATTTACTAATATATAAGACAATTTAACTCGATTTTATCTTGAGGTATCTAGATGACGGTTAACATTCTCGATAGTCAATACCCTCAAAGGTAACAGTAATCCCTACAAAATGCCTTAGTGGGGAAAAAAAATTTATTCAGACAGATACTAATTTTCTCTAGTTATTTAAAGATATTTTTATTTAATGAATTGATTTATTTTTGAACAAATGTACATTTATTTCTTACATAAGTAGATTTTACATGAAATTATCGCTGTCTTTTTCATTTCCTGTACAAATTATGACAACTTACCATGACAAGTGGCTCTTAAAATTAAACTATACATTTGGATTTATTCTTAAAGAGACTAATTTCTTTCACTACTTAGAGAAACCTGCCAACTCTTAGCATTCTTAAGCAATTTTAAGTTCAATATTACAAGAGCAGAATTGATATGTACTGCCCCCTCAACGGACCAATCCGAAAAATATTACATCCACTTTTTTTCTCCAACAATTAAAAATACTAAATTATTTCTGGTTATTTATGAAAAACAAGAAGTGCCCTTCTCTCGCAACCCCTTAAACTGATTTGCTATTGTATAGCATCTGATTAGTATTCTTCTTTAAGAATGTAAAATATCACATCTTGTTAGCATCAATTTCTAAGGCATCAAATTCTGAGTAAATAAATTCTTAATATAATTTTTTCATTTTATAATGTATAAAATAAATTCATGATTATAAATATTTGATTTTTTCATAATGATATCTTGCAACATCAGAAGGAATTCCCTGGATAAATTCTAGGCTTTTCAAAAGTTTTTTCATGTGATAGTTAGATATTTTAGTATTTAATCCTTCTTTTTACTTGCAACTGTTTTCCATGTATAATTTTTCAGATATAAATTTTTCGAAGAATTTTCTGAAAGCACAAATAAGTTATCTTAATTCTAAAAAAGCTAAATAATATAATTATATTTTATTTTCAAGTATTTTGTGATATTCTATTATGTTTCGTGCTTTTTTAACTATTTTGCTTTTATAAGGTATACACTTGTTTTTGCTGCAAAAAAACTACAAAATACCCATGTTTTAAAAGAAAAATTCAGACTAAAGAAAAAATGACTTCCTTGTACTTATTGCCTTCAAAAGTGAAGCCAGTGAAAAGAGATTTAAATGCAGGACTACTAATTAGTCATCAAAAGAAAAACATGTAAGCAAAAATATAATTATTATTTTAATTCTATTATCTGAAAAGAATATAAAGCAATGTGATATAAGTATGTTAAAATACAACATCCATTAAAGAAAAGCAGACACAATAAAAATGTGTTGTCTGCTGTATTCTACTTAGGTAATAAGATAATTTATTCTTATCAAATTTCAAAATATGTTACAAAGCTCTTTTAAATGATTACACAGCTGAAAGGAAAAAACCATTGGAAAAAAACTATTTTTTCTGCTGTCAGGTACAGCATTTAACTGAAATATTTGCATTTTTGAACTGAATATTGCAACTAAAATATTTGCCAGTCGTAAGATTATGCTATGTTGTTGCTGTTAAGGGTTATTTGGAAAACATTATTTACATAATTTTTTTGGCTAGCATCGCCATCTCTTGACAAACTTAACAATTAATTTACTAAGTAAAAACTAGTAAGATAGATTTTAATAGAATGCATTGAATTGTACATTTCTCTTTCTAATTTGTTTTAATTGATTATTCCAAATTATAATCATTTTTGGGACCATTAATGTACTTAAACTGTATTAACAATACTTGTAACTTTTATATGTAGTTTTAAATTACACATGATTTCTAATAAAAAAAAGTTTGATTTTTTTTCGTTAATGAAAACTTAATTTTTAAATTTGACTATTTCTAACTAGCATTTCAGTTGCTAATTTTCATACTTATGAATATAAAAAAAATCTTAAGTGCAGTGTTAAAAAATTCCTCTCTTGTATTTGGACAAAAGAATAATATACTATTTTGAGATAAGTTGTTTGTAACAGTAAATTGTTAAATAACTTTTAAACTATTATCTTAGTTGACTATTTTATATTTTTCAGGCCAACAGAGAATGAGAATAGTATTGAATCAATATCAAACAGTGATATGAAAATCATGGACAAAGAATCTCCTTCATTTCCTACAAAAGGACTTAAATTGTCTTCAAATCCATCACCTATAATTAAACTCAGCTCAACTAAAAAACAGTGTCCTTCTCAAAATGTAAGTAATACGCCTAGTTTATCAAAAAAGAAAAAGAAATCATTGTTAGCACAGATATTAAAACAAGAGCAAGAAACTGCTAAGAAAAAATCGAGCTTGTCATCTTTCCTCTTTTCTATTTAATGAAACTCTTACAATGTTTAGATTTTGTCTCAAACTGTGTTTTATTATATTAATTATATAAACTACTGCTCTGGAAAAGTCAATTACAAATTTTAGAGAATAGTGTCATTTGCATGGAAGTAAATATTTTTCACATTCTGATATGATTCAAATGTTTTTAAAGCTTGATTATTATTTATTACCATTATTTTTAACAATTATTCTTAAACTCACTTCTCTTAGATAATTATCTTTAAAATATAATATTTTTTTATTATTTTTGTCATGTTTTAAGTAGAAACTGCATGCTCATAAGTCTCTCTATATAAATTCTATATATAATATTCCTGATTTCTAAGAACAGATATCAGAAATATTTTTTGGAGAAACATGAAGGAATATATACAGAAATTAAACTTGAATGTTTTATATATCGATTTATAAATCATTTCGTTTTTTTTTTTTTTTTTTCTCAATTAAAGCAAATATGTTTAAAAAAGGCTTTTCTAGTTAATAGTTAATTATTTTTATTTAATAGTTTTTTTTTACCATATTGTGATCAAATTTTGCATAAACATAAAGGAACACTTACTTCTAAGGAATTTGATTGTGGTTTTCTAAGACATTTTAAATTTTTTAACATTATCACTTGTTTTAAATCATAAATAAATTAGTGGTAGTCTACTAGAAAATTTAAATTCGTCTACTTGTTCAATTGATCTTAAATTTAATTATTTTTAAAATTAATCCATGTCAGATTATAAGAATATCTTTAAAACATATTTGATAATCTTAACAGCTTCTTTTAACTATGTGTTTTGTCCTTTTATGTATAGACTAAGAGTGAAAATCAACTTGTGTTTTAAGTTTGTGTTATTGACAAATTTAAAAAAAAAAAATTTAGCTTTATCTTTTAATAGCTTAAGAGTGTTTTTATAAAGCTCTTCTGTCAAAGAGAATAAAAAAGCAAGGGTTAAAATGCCCTAAAATCGAAGTGAATCCATATATACTATATCTTGCTGTAATGTATCACCTAAGATTTAAAATAGCCAATGTGGTTGAATATTTAAAAAAAATTATTAAACATTTTACAAACATCATCAATTATATGTATATATATAATGGACAATATTTTCGTATCTATTTTGATGAATAATTTTTTAATCTTTATTTTTTTAAATCCAAACAATGCAATAACTTTTTCAAATATTTCAAAAAAAATTAAATCAAATTTATCAAAACATCAGCCTATTGTTCACATAAAATGGGCTTGTGCAACTGACAACCTAACTATTGCAATCTCAACAAACAGCGATAAAAATAGTATAATATTGGATTAAAAAAAAGTTACACTTCATGGTGGCAGAAGAGCTTTTAAAGAACAGCCTTGATGTACCTGTCTACAGTTAGTGTTCTTCCAAAATAAGGAAGAACAAAACAAGGTAAAGCTCCAGTGAACTCAAACTGATTTTTATACTGTTTTCCTTTTATTATAACTATGCTGATAATACTGTCATTTAGTGGGCTACTTCTTTTAAACTACTATAGTATGTCAAATAACAATTTCTATTAGCTTACAGGCAGAAACCACGTGAAACATTTTCCATATCTATTACATACCATATGGTTATACAATACCATAGATATTGCAATATATAATGTATATGAATGTGTACAGTGCGCATAATAAAAGGACCACCTTGAAAAACTTTTGATCTAATGATTGCATCTTCACATTCCAGTACTCAATTTTAAGTTACAAAAACATAGTTTCTCTGAATGAACGTAGCTTTTATCGATGGATTCAGATCTCTGACAGCCAAAATTTAGAAGATAGAATCTGAGAAATATGGTCCCAAAGTTTGCATCCCTAAATTTTTATTTTACTTTTTCCGTATTTCGCTACATGTTGTGAAATTTTTCACACAGTAATAAAATTCAATTATCTAAAGATAATTCCATGCGGGAAAAAAAAATTTGGAATTGTTATGTATACAATTTTTTGCATTATTTTAACAAATACAATTTTGCATGGCAAAATACAAAATTTGGGCAGAATCGGTGAATAGTTCCAGGGAAATTGAATTTCAAAACAGTCAGATATATTTTTGACCAATTCTGAAAAAGTCTGATTTTGTAACTTTAAATATAGTCTGCAGTTATTAATTAGCACATTTGAAGTCACTCATTCAAGCCATTGAGATTTAGTCCTAGAATATGAAGAGCCAATCATTAAATCAAAAGTTATTCAGGGTGGTTTTTTTTTTTTTTTTTGCACACTGTACTATCCACGTGTTAGTATCAGAATTCTAACTGCCTAACTATGAAGAGAACTTTGTTACCTATCTAAATTATAGTAAAATTTTTCAATTATCTTGCATTAATCATTATTATACTTTTATTGTATTTCCAGAGCAGCATGCTTTATAAACTTCGCATTTAATACTGTGCATATTTTTCAAAGAGAATCAGTTCACAATAAATATAAAAATATTTTATTTACAAATAGTGTTTTTTTTTTACACACGAACCATTAGCAATTTACATAAATGATCAAGAAGTTATACCAACTAAGAAAGATTGATAAAGAATTGGAAATGTATATAATATGATAAATATTAATTATACTCAACATTATGATTGATCCAATCATCTTTTTTTATGTATAATATTATCACAGAAAAAGTTTTCATACTTTCAAAGTTTAAGTCACATAACTTTTGTAACATCACACAAAAAAAAAAAATCTTTAAAGTTTGCTTGGTATTTTTGGAGATACAGGAAAGCCTCCATCAAAAGCAGCTTGCAGAACTTCATTAACATGAGTGCATGTGTAAAAATTCATGTCACTCTAGAAAACAAATATACATTAATTCAAAATTAGGTTAAACAATAATAATAAAGTTGTAAATGGGTGTAAGATACCTGTATTTTCATATCAGTAATTTCTTTTAATTTAGCAGATTTTAATTAATCTTGGCTACAAATATTAAATATAGGAAGACTTTCTGCTCATATTTTGTGCTGAAATCTGGTTAAATAATTTTATAACCATCCTTGAACAGCTGACCCGATTTTGGATTTACCCTGTAGCCTTGTAATTTTAAACCCAATCCAGAAGACAAGGATCTCTTGGATCAAGTGTCGAAAGAAGTTTGTCTTCGTGGAGAACATTTTGGTGGAACTAACCCGCATTTGTGTTGCATGGAGAGGAAAACCATAAAAATCTCCCTCATTCAAAAGCTTTTATTTATAGCACCATTTATTTTCGCTTAAAACTTTTTAAGTAAAATAATACACAGCAACAAAAAAAATTAGGTAAAATTTGTTGTAGAACTAAAAGTTAATTTTAATATATTTCTTATATAAAATAATATTTTATATAATTTTAAATTATATTACTTTTACAGGCAGAATTATTTCTGTATAATTTAATAGTGTTCTTCCAATATTTTTTTATACACCAGTGAAATTAATTGCTATTTAAATTAATGAAAAATAAGATTAGGATTTAATTAAAAACTTTTATGAATTTAAAAAGTAAACAAGTTATGATTTATACCTGTACTGATTGTGGTATATCAGCAAGATCTTTTTCATTTCTACTAGGTAATATACAACTTCTCATACCAGTTCTATGTGCAGCAAGTACTTTTTCTTTAACGCCTCCAACCTGAAATTAAATAGTTATAGTATAATTTAAAATTTGTACACTCACAAGAATATTATATTACATCTATGATAATGAGGAATACACATAATATCAAACATCTTAATAATAAAAGTAAATGAAAGCCATAAGAAATGAAAAAAAAAATTATTTTTAAAATGATAATAAGTAAGGAAGAACTGTTTTTAACGTAGCTTACTGCAACAAAAATTAGTTTCATGACAACTGTAATTACACATTAAGACTGTGAAAAAAAAACATAGAATAATTTTTAGATTTACTTAATCTGCAAGAATATCATTACAATAAACACTAGGATTGTTGGCATTAATTATTTCATATCTGCTACATCTTGAAGAGATTTGTGAAGTTGTGTATCTCAAATCAAGAAATATATTCACGAAAAGAAAAATATATATATAATCATCTTGAACAATTAAAAATGGTTATCATATATTTTTGACTATTACAAAGAAAAATCACAATACAACACACAAGAGTCTATATGTAGAAAAATAGAATTGTAAACATCAGATTCAGAAAATTTAAAGGGGATAATATAACTTTCTTCTAGTCCTATACATAATCAAATTTTAACTTCATTTGCATATTTAAGCCTTAGCAAAACGAAATTATATAATATGACGCAAACATTAACAAAAACACCAAAGGGGTAAAAATTAAATGCTATTTTCATCGACTTGCTTCATCAATAACACTATATTCATCAAATTATCATACAAACTGGATATTTTGGAGTCAATAGTGTAAAATACATAGTTGTCGGTGAATGCTCTAGAATAGAAACTTCAAAATTTTCTTTTGCACTACAATAAAAGACTAACAGTTGCACAACCATAATTTGTAAAGCAAAACTTATTATATTAAACCCATATTAACAAAATATTTTGTCAGATTTGAACCATTAATTGTTTATTTATGCACAAAATTGAATGCAGCTAAATTAATTCTTCACAGCATTTGTACACACCGGGAAAAAATTTAATTTTACCCCAAAAACCTGTAATTCCCACGTAATTTTTATTCTAATAAAATTTTGCAGAAGAAAAAGCAGTACTTTGGCCTTTTGTTTGCGGTTTGCAAAATAATAATGAAAAAGTGATAAATTGCCGAAGAGGTAATTTTAAGGTAAAATTTTGAGTAAAAGCTCTGTCTTCTTCATTAACAGAATGTTCGCATAAATGCAACCTAATTTATTTAAACAAATGCATTGTATGAATCTCGGAGGAATGTTTTACCGATATGCATATCATACAATGAATGCCAGATGATCACTATTTATCAGAATATTGTTTACTAGTGCCACTTTGTGGGGCCATTAATCAACAAATTAATAAAATTACAGATTTTTTGCATAGTATGTTATGCCTGACAACAAACTTGAAGGAGCATACAAGCAAGTTAAATAGAATTAATGTCATTAAAATAAGTATATATAGAGGGAATCATATTTAATAGTTAATTTTGCATCTATTGCTTTTTAAACTAGCTTTTTAAATAAATCACTTATAAAATAATGTTGGTAAATTGACAAATTTACCAACATTTAAAATATTTCAGTTACTTACCGGAAGAACCAAACCTCTTAATGTGATTTCCCCACTCATAGCAACATCAGACCTCACAATCCGTCCTGTAAACAATGATACTAATGCAGTAAATATTGTTATACCAGCTGAAGGACCATCTTTGCCGACTGCTCCTGCAGGAAAATGAATATGCACATCGGTACCTTCCATCAAATCTGCACCACTAGAAACCCTTATGCCGTACTGTAGAAAAAATTTATATTTTCAGAAAATTAGTGGTAATTTATCAAATTTAAAGTATAATCTATTACTTTAAATAAAATTAAGAGTAGGTTAAATTTATTTTTTCAATAAAATCTATATTTTCATTTTAAGAAAAGTTTTAAACAAAACCTAAATAAAATAAAATATTCATGGAAGCTTAATTTGTTAAAATATTTTACTGAGAGAGTAATTTCACATTTGAGTAATTTAGTGAAGAAATTTCTCTTAAATAGCAACTTCTTCATTAAATAACAAAGGGAAGAATTAATTTATGCGACAACAAGAAAATGGTTTAGATGGTTGGAAGAAATGTAAATAAGAGAATGGCTCAGGCAGTTGAATGTAAACCTAAAAGACAAGGTACAGACAGCAGCATATCTTTCAGACCTTTTTCTTAAATTTATCTGAACAAATTTTGAATTTAAAAGAATAATAAAAAAGCATGTATATGTATACATAAATTTGAATTAATTTTACAAGCTACAGTTAAAGGTAAATTATAAAATTTACTCTCTCTCTCTGTATATATATCTTTTATTNATATATAATACACATATATAATATATATAGAGAGAGAGTAACTTTTATAGTTTACCATTGACTATAACTTGCAAAATTCAAAATTAATTCAAATATATATTCGTATCGTTGTAGATGGGTAGATATGCATTGAACCTTAAATATAGCCACCTACAACTTACTATACTAGCAGCTTTTAAAAGTAGCTAAAAAACAAGACTTTGACCCCTTAACTAAAAAGCTAGAGATAACTTAACAATTAGTATGTTTAACTTAACGACATAAATATGTCTTCTTGGCGATTTTACCAGCACAAATTTTTCATTAGAAAGCATTAAATTTTGTATACAGAGAAAATCATATACTATTAATTAATTGTGTAGTAATACACAAGTCTAATATACTAAATACACATTATGAACATTCATATTACATTCTTTATTATTCATTCCTAATTGCAAAGGTATATGGAAAGAAAATCGGAATTGTTACAGCTGAACAAAAAACTTCAAGAGAAATGTCTTTATTTTGTTTATCGTTTACGGAAAAAAATTAACTTACTTCATGACAATGAGAGCGAACTAAATTCAATGCTAGCTGTGCAGACTCTTTCATTACTTCTCCTAATTGTCCTGTCAGTATTAATTGACCATCTCCATCAATTTTAGTGGCTTCCACATACATTATTTGGCCACCTGCACTTGTCCATGCCAAGCCAATCGCAACACCTGGTTGGATTATTCGGCCAGAGATCTCACTTTCATATAAAGGTGTCTAAGAGTAAAGATTGTAAAAAAAAATAAAAAATTATAAGTATCATTTCTTTAAAATGAAAATGCATATTTATAGTTCAGTATAAAATTATAAGCAAGTATTATTGCCTGAAATAAGATAATATAAATGATCTGCTAAAAGATGGATTTGATGAATTTAGTATTGATTTGTGTAAAAAAAAAAGTTATTTCTTATAATAATTTTTAAATATGAATTATTTTATCTGAACTTAAAAATTATTATTAATGACAGAGTTTTTTCTGTTAAAATTTAATTAGTGTGAATGTAGTTAAATAAAATTATATATCAATTTTTAATCTTGAAATATTACATTTTCATAAACCATAAAATTTTACAACAAATTAATATGGATAAAATTTACCCAATTCTGTTTGACATCTTTATATGATCTCTTTAATCAACAAATTCATTATTCCAAGATACATTTTTCATAGCATATTGGATGAAAATTGTTTAGCATAACCAAGGATTTTTATTTCATTATCATCAGTAGCAGGAAAGGATAGGGTGAGCCAAATCCTTCCTATAAAGACATTGGCAAGCAGCCCTCTTCTTATACTGGTTGTCCAATTCTTAAACCTTTAGGACTACAAACTCTCTTTCAAGAGTATTGTAAATACCCAATAATAATATTTTTACAAAACTAAAAAATAAATATTTTAAACTACTCATATTTTCAAATGTGCCATATTCAGTTGCAATTTATGAAATGTAATGATATATAAAGAAGACTAATTAGCTTTTTTTAATATTAAGTAAGCATATTTATAATTTGCAAAGAAATCAATAAATTTATTTTTAAAAGATTACTTACACCTAATATATCTAAAACAGCCTCCTCATCTAAAATAAATGGTAGCTCTGGTAAAGGAGCAATAGGACTTAATGCAAAATTTTGACAGTTAACAGGAACCTCCTCATTTGGAGTGATTGAAGTTTTAGAATCATTAATATTCATCTGATCATCATTTGGTCGTAAAGCAGCTTCTTTTTCCACAATTCGAACTGCCACAGCACGACACAGGGCCCCTAATTTTCTCTCCAAACCACGGACACCTGCCTCTCGAGTATACTTGACAACTGTTAAATAAAATATTATTCATTTTCGAAAAACAGAATCATCATTTATTGTAAATAATAAGTAATAATACACTTACAAAACAAGATACATAATAAAGAATTTAGATTGATAATTAAATATGTACTGACTATGCACATTTTCAAGATACAGTTGCGTTAAATAAAACAGTTTCAGCTCAAATTAACAGAATTATTTAGATTTTTTAATGATATTTAAGTTTCTATTTTGCCTTTACCTATTTAAGTGTGTCCTGGTGAAAAATGTATTTTTATAATCAAGAGTTGAACTAAAGCCTTCACATTGGATAAATGCAAATGATTTACTTTTAGATATCAGAATTTTTTTGATTTCCTCAACATCGGACTTTAAATTCAAAAAAAGAAAAGAAAGAATTCTAAATAAATTTTAATGTAGTTTCATAGGGAAATTTCAGAAAAGAGAATTAGGCTTCATATTGCTTTGTTATTTCAAATTATGAAGAGGCCAATGTATTTGATAAAATCACCTCTCTTTATACCCATACCTGAACTACTATTTTGATAGCATATTTCAAACTATTTATTGAATCATACAATTTATTTTGCAGATACGTGGGTCCTTTTAAAAGAAAGTGCACTTTTGATGTCCCACGACTTTAATAAATGAAATAAGATGACATTTTTAAACATTCAAATACACATACTATTCGTTTTTGGTAAATGTATATGCATAGAAATTAGTATTGTAAAAATAATGTCTGTGTAATACCTTTTTAATACTTCAGATACAGCTAAATTGCTATATCCCAACCTTCTTTGCCTCTTATTTTACTGCAAATGAGTCTGCTGTTATTTGAAAATAATTTTAAATTATCTAGTGAAAATTGTGTTGTGTGAAGTATCAAGTACAGCTCATCTAACATACAGTTTCAAAAGTACTTTAAAGTAAAAATCAAATATTTCAATTTTTTCCCACGATTTTTTTCACTCTGTTACTATAATTATTGTATTAAATTACTTCTGTTAAGTTTGCAGAAATGAATCCCAAGTCGAGAGACTTGGGATTCATTTCTATTTTTAATTAATAATCTATTTTTGAATAATGTTAACACTTTAAATATTGTCATTATATAAGTTCAATTTATTTTTCCCCCTGTTACACTTCCACTCTGTTAGCATGTTAATGGTAACTTTATTAATTTAGTATTTCATTACTACATATTAAGTTTATTTAAAGAAATATAGGTAGCTATCAATAGTGGTACGGCTAAAATTCAGTAATTTGCTACAAAAGAAATTTAAAAATTTAGCTCTACCGTAGCCCTGTCATATTTTCCACTCAGTTACTAACAATTAATTACACTTTATTTTTCTATATAATTTGACAAAAAGCAATTTTAGTGATTTTCAGTGCAAATTTGAATAGAGTGGAAGTTGTTTACTGTTTCAGGAAACTTTTATTTTTATTTAAATACTTTTAAACATTAATAACAATGTTAGGAACACAATGCAGATTCAAGTTAATGTTTCAAGTAAAAAAAAAATTGTGGCTGTTTTTACTTTTATGGATAAGAAACATTCCATTTGCAGATGAATTTTTTATAACTAGTAGTTCAAATATTCAGAAAAAAAATTTGAATGCCTCTCCATTTATGTAATGAAATTCCTCATTATTACATAATGAAATTCCACATTTATTTTAATGAAACAAAAATGCATAAGAAAACTATATTTTAAAAACTATTTCTAGTCAACTTTTAGAGTTATTACTGGAAAAGTTTATAGTAAATTTTTAAAGATACTCTCACCAGAAAGAAAGACAATAAAGTCTAGAATATCTACAAAATGAAATAGCGCAATATTTAATCCTCAAAGTGGTGAATACTTAATTTGCAACAGAAATTTTAAAAATGACTTGTCATTCTTTCTACTCATGATTTTGTCCCCAAAAAAGTTCAACATTAAAATTATATCATAGGACAAGTGCATGAATAATATAATATTAAGCACATCTCATACTAATTTAACTTTAATGTAAGCTAGTCTATCAGTTGTTAATTTTATTTAAAGAAAGAGATTCATAAAATCATTCCAAGAACCATACTTTAACTATTTATCACAATATAAGTTCATAAATTATAATCATAAACAAAAGATTTAATCTAATGTTTTGGTAAATGATGAGAAAGATAAGTTTATAAAAGAAGAAACATACTAATTAGTCGAATAGCTTCATCAGTCACTTGTAACATATCTGGTGTCAAACCATGTTCCTTTAATTGTTTCGGGAGTAAATGATTTCTAGCAATGTGTTCCTTTTCCTCATGTGTATAACCAGGTACTGTTATAACCTGCAATAAAATAAAAAGTGAATTTTGATATTTCATGAAGTAGTACTTGTTAAAATATTACAGAAGTCTCAATAAGAATCCAACAATATAAATCATTTTAATAGAAAACTTGAAAAAATATTGACTAGCAAGTTTAAATCCCAAAAAGGACAAACTTTATAATTTCCTTCTTTTCTAAAAAAAAATAAAATACAAATAAGTAATAGATGCAAAGTCAAATAAGTAATTTAATTACTTCCATTCTGTCTAACAGGGCAGGAGGAATAGAACTAATTGTATTGGCAGTTGCTATAAATAAAACTTGAGATAAATCAAATGGAACATTAAGATAACTAGTATTCAATTAAGAAAAATACAAAATTTCCTAATAAAAATGAAAGATCAATTAAAAAACTGAGCAATAATTAAAATTAAAACTAATTTACACAAAAAATACATTATCAGCTAAATATTTTGAAACTGCATTTAGGTAATTTTTATCAGCAACAAAAAATAAAAAGGATACTGATCAGTAAAGGTGCAATTTTGTTCAGGGTCTAATACTTCTAATAAAGCTGCTGATGGATCTCCATGCAAGCCTTTTGTCTGAAAAAAAAAATTTACATTCAAAATCACAAAACATGATTGAGATTTTAAGAAACACAAGTGATAATTGGAAATTTAAATCAATAGAAACAATGTTTCTAACTCAATTTATAATGAAAAATAAAATAGCCATTATTATCATACAATAAATATTAACATAATTTAAGAACATAATCAACTTTTAAAAAAAACACCTTTATGAAGAAAATTAAAACTTTAATTGAAAATGAATTCATAAAATATTCATCATCATATTTGGCACAATAAATAGCAAAGGGTGGGTCAAGGCTTTCTGATGAAGATTCCTTCAGGACAAACTACTTTAGTTTGAAATTTTTCTGTATCAATTAGGTCAAATAATGTCTGCACTAGATCAATAAATAGTGGATGCATGCACAATTAAAAACATCAATAATATTTTAATTATTACATTTTAACATCAAATTTAACTTTACATAACTGAATACAACTGTTCATATATATTTATGACTAGAAATATTTGCTTTAGCTGATTTATCATTAAATGATTAGAAGTTTTGTTAATTTTTCATTAAATTCAATCAAATTAGAATATTTTCCAAAATTGTTTAGCATTATAAAGAATGGGGATTTTGTTTAACAAAATAAAGATATCAAGAAAAAGTTTTTTTATTTATTTATAAACAAAAATTAACACATTGTATACAAAAATAACATGAAATGTTTACTGGAAAAGATACAATAAAAATTAGTTAGAAAAATATCTACGACAATATAAATGATGAGCAAGCGTTTATTTTTTTGGAAACTGAGGCAACCTTAGCATTAACTGAGCAGCTTAACATTATCCAAAACAACACTATATATCATACAAATCATTAAACCAAAATATTTATTTTTTAAGTTAAAAATAATTATTTCTAAAATTGAAATTTTCAAACAATTCTTTTCAAATAACTTTCTTTTTAAATTCAACACACGTTTTCCCAATCGGTTGAGAATAAATTTCTGTCATAATTATTTCAAATTCAATCAAGTTGCTTTTTAATAACTGTTACAAATACATCCAAAACAGAAATCAAAAAATTATACAAATAAACTTGGTTAATGGAACTAAAGTGAGTTTATAAAAATGAAATCTAAAATTTGTTAAATTAATATTTTCCTTAACTTTTGTTTTCATTCTTGCTCTATAATATGTATTAAAAATATTTCATATCATTTTAAAACATATTTTTTAGAAGAAATTTACCAATTTATCCACTTCATCCAAGAGAAATACAGGATTTTTTACTCCAACAGTCCTTAATCCTTGAATGATTCTTCCAGGCATTGATCCAATATATGTTTTACGATGTCCCCGAATATCAGCTTGGTCACAGACACCACCTAAAGAAATTCTGCAACGAAAATTCATAACTAAGATTCAACATCAATATATTCAATTTTGTAAATGCATACTAGAGGGTAAAGCACTCTACATACACAAAAACGAATACCATATCTTTATACAATTAAATCTATGAAATCATTTACAATAAATATTGCTGAATGACATTTGGATTTCATGGGATTTTGAAATAATTAATTGTGATAGTAAAATTATGTTTATGCAAGCAGGAATTTCCAATATTACATTCATTGAAACAGACAGTTCTCATACCGATATATTTTCATTATAAAATAATGCATATTAACTGTCACAAATGTATTAACCCTTTGACACAGATGGAACACCAGTGTCTGTTTCATAAATTTTTTTTTGGACATTTTAATTACAAAAAAAAAATTTTTTGTATTTTTTTAAATTATAAAAAATAGTTTAATAGTTACTAAAAAAAGTTAGCTTATCAGAATTATATTTATACTAAAATATAAAACCAAAAAAGTAGTTTAAAATTTTTTTCATTCATATTTAAAAATTCATCACTGATTTTGTAAATTAAAAAATTTCAATTTGGAATAGCTGTTTTCCTTATATCTAAATAAGTGCGAATTTGAAAAACTATTGTTTCGAAGTGAGCCCCGTCTGGAAGATTTTACCTTTAATGCAGAGAAAGGCACCAAAGTTTTATGGTGTATTTAATGACCATAAATTGTTAAAATGCTAATATAATTGTCAAAATGCTAATAATATTTCCCCCTTATTTTGATGTAAATTTATTCCAAATAATGAAAAAATATGAAGATTATGTTTAATAAAAAATCTGTGTCAAAGAGTTAAATGATCCAAGCTCGCCTCACTTTTGAACCTGGTTAAATAAATATTATATACCTATGAAATTCTCTTCCAAGTGATTGAGCAATAGATCGCCCAACACTAGTTTTTCCTACTCCAGGTGGGCCAACAAAACATAATATGGGACCCTTCAGTGAATTCTTCAATTGTCTTACGGCTAAATATTCTAGCACTCTTTTCTTCAGTTTCTGCATGCCATAATGATCAGCATCCAAATCTTTCCTATAAGCAAATAATTACAAATATTTTACAGCCAAACTGATTTGAAACAATAATATGATTTAAAATATGACCATAATAATTAGCATCTAAATCTTTCTTGTAAGCAAATAATTCTAATGTACTGTAATCAAATGAAATAAACATACCTAGATTTCATAATGTCAATCACTTCTGGTGAAACCTTACTCCAAGGTAATTCACACATCAGATCAATATAATTTCTAAAAATATTTCAAATTTATATGCTTTAGAAAACATTTAAATCAATTTATTCACATATGTTTTAAATAAGTGCAAAATACATTTGCACTTAAACTAAATGAACATAGTGATTTACCTTGAAACAGCATGATCAGGCATGTGAAATGGCATTCTTTTTAACCTCTGAAATATCATGAAAACTAAAATTAGCACACAATTAAAATCACAGATACCATTAGAAATAATTAAATATATAATTACCTGAACTTCTTGCAATGCTATATTTTTAGCATGTTCTGGCATATCTGTATCCCTAGAACCAAATTAATAGCATTTGATTTTTTTTTATTCATCAAATTAGAGAACAAATTTCTACAGGAGCAAAATTTGATCGCAACTAACCTTATAGATTCAACTTAAATTAAATTGAACAAGAAAAAAAATACTCAGAAAGATTTTTTTTTTAAATTCTTTCAACTTGCAAAAACTTAATGACCATTTGACTTATTGACCAGTTAATATTTAAAACATAAACTACTCACCTCACTTTCTTCTCTAGTGCTGCAATATCATCACCACCTTTGTCAAAGTCAAACAATTTATTTCTTCCAAATGGAAGTTTTGTTATGTCAAGAGGTACAATTTCTTCTTTTTGAGTCTTCTGCAAAATCTGAAGACCCTATTGAAACAATAAAATATTTAAAGAAAATTTTAAAAAAATAATAAAAAAAGCACATATTATTATTTAATAAAAAATATATTATCTGCTAATGATGTGAACACACAATATATTCTAATCTTGGTTAGGGCAAAATCATCATGTTAAATCAGTGTTTTCCAAACTTATGACTTTTGTGTACCCTTTCTAAATTTTTCGTAATGCTGTGTACCACTAATAAAAAAAAATGAATGTATTTTTCACTATAAAAAAATTGCACAAAAGTTAAAAATCACAACTGGCTGTTGTTGGCATCACTAATTATTAACTGTTAACTCTGCAAAAAATAGCCAATAGAAAAATATGTAATCATAAATTTTCATAGCTAGCTTTGTTTTTAAACAAAATCTTTTTAAATTTTCGTTTGTTGCAAGATATTTCGTATAAGAATGTGTACCCCTCGGGGTACACATACCACACTTTGGGTAACACTGTCTTAAATAATATGTTTAACACTATTGTATTTTGAATTGAAAAGTATTAGAGCTTACTCCATAAATATAGTATATTAAAAAAAAATTAAAATAAATCTTCCATGAGGAATTATTCTGCTAATAACTATAAAACTGTTAAATAACTTTATGCTACTTTTAACCATTGCTTTGAAGGAAAATCAAAGCACATGAATGCAATATTCATTTACTGAAAATTAAAATAAAACAACAATTTGCTATGAAGTATAATTAAAAGAACCATCTTAAAATGACGTGAGAAAAAAATCACAGAAATTTTTTTAACTAAATAGTGAAAAACAAAAGTAGGCAACAACTAACCTCTATCTGCCTAACTAACAATGGCAATGTTTTTTTAAATCTTTCAGCAAGATCTACTGCATCCAATATCTGCAACCTTTCATTGAAAGAAGCTCTTACAATAGCAGCACATACATCAGGGAGACTTTCACTTGGTAATGAATGTAGTAAGCGCTAAAAAAATATTAAACTAAAATAATAATACGATTTCACCAAAATTGAATGGTATATAAATTGCATTTTATCTTTTTTGAATGCATATAAGGTATAAGACACAAAATATGCATATAAGACACAAAATATCACTGGGTACCACACACCCCTAGCCCACAATGGGCTGTTGTGGAAATTCTTTTTACCAACCAACATATACCAAATGTCTTTCAAAAGAAATTTAACTATTACATTTGCATCAACATTTTTCCACACATCTAAAAGGATTTGGTACATAACACATATGTTTTAAAAGTTGTGTTACATTCTTAAAATTAGTTAAATATCACGAATTCATTCATCAGAATACCACGCGTCCTTATTTGAGAATCAAATAGGAAAAACTGGCACACTTTTTTATGTGTTCCTATCATCTTATTAAAATACAATAAGGGATAAGGTAAAAAAACTTTGACTAATTCTTCATATTATTAAAAATTATTTTTTTCTAATCTTTAAGTTTTCTAATTTTGCATTTAGATAGAAATTTGTTTTTTAATACAATAGAGTCTCAATAGTTCCAATTTCTATTGTTCGAGTTTCCCATAAAGTTAGTTTCGCTCTCAATAATGACCAACACACACACAACACGTGTTGAAAAACGATATTGGGTGTTAAACACTGAAACATGTTAATAGCATATTAAAACAAAAAACATAAGACAATTATTTTAAAGTACAATTAACCTGATGTAGCAATCTAATGAATATTGTAACTTGGTGTAATGTAATAAATATAACCTGATCCTCCAATGTAGGTAAATTTTACTTAAATATAATATATTTTTCAATTGAATACTGAAATTTTAAAATTGTTTTGTTTCCATTTATTTTAATATTGATTAAATTTTAAGCTTTCGAAGTTTGAAGTGTGTGGCACCGAGCCCACCTCGAGCTAGGAACTCGAGTAATATTAACTCTTTTCGAAAGTTTGAGGTAGGTTCGATGCCACCAACCTCCAATTATCAAGACTCTACTGTAAATGTAAATTCAGAGGTCGACTTTAACGCTGAATGCACCATTTTGTAATTAACAGAAGGGGCCACCTTAGACGCCAAAAAATATGTTATTAAAGTTGTGAAAATATTGCAAAAAATGTAAAACACTAAAATTAACATTAATATTAGTCCTTAAAATAAATTTTAAAAATAAATTATAAAAAATTATTTCACTCATTTTTAAAGTGATATGTTTAAAAAAACTTTAAAACTAAAAAATAACATTTAATAATTTTTATTCAAAAAAAATTTAATCCTCAATAAATTCTTGGATAACAACATCATTCAAACAATATTTCTGTTATGATCATAATTAACGAGTGATTAAAAATGTCATAACATTTTATTCAAAATGTAACAATTAAAAATGTCAACATTTAAACAAAGAGAGCTAGATAAGTTTAGGCAGATATAAATGGAAATAAAAATATTTAATTTTTTTACCTTTAATCTTAAAACAGCAGGTATAGATAAATCAAGCATGTCAATCAATTTATTTGCTTGCTCTCTAAATTGTTCCATCAAATCTGATAATTCAGTGTTTAACTCCTCAGACTCTAAAATACGCAAAAAAAAAGGGGGGGGTGAGTTACATGAAAAAAATTAATATTTTTTATTACCTTTACTTATTCATTTATGGCACTCATATAATCATTTTCACCAAAAAAAATTTTCAAAAAATAATAATTAGGGTAATAACATATTATAGGCTTATAAAAGATTTCATAAAAATATACAACATCTTCCTCAGCAACATTGGAATAAAATAATTTGTTTCTGCAGAAGTAAACTTTTAATAATGAGTGCACATAAAAGATATTAAACTGAATAACTTTCACTCTAATGATCGGATTTTCACGTACTAAGTGTCAATCATAATGGTTCCTCGGGGAGACCTCAAATATGCTAATTATTTAATACTAACTATTAATTAAGTTATGAAATCAAACACAAAAATGTACTTTCTATGAATAAATTTTTTTTCATAGAAAGACTGAACTAATATTAAACTGAACAACTTTCACTCTAATGATCGGATTTTCACGTACTAAGTGTCAATCTTAATGGTTCCTGGAGGTGACCTTAAATATGCTAATTATTTAGTGCAAACTATTAATTAAGTTACGAAATCGAACACAAAAATGTACTTTCTATGAATAAATTTTTTTCTTACATATTTCAATTCTTAATCTTCAAAATATAGGGGGTAGCCGCAATCTGAGATATATGGTCCCCATTGTTTGGTCAGGACAGCAAACTCATTTACCCAAAGATAATTTCATGCAAAAATTACATTTTAATAATTATTTATTATTTAATTTAAATGAGGATGAAAAAATTTTGAATTATGAGGTATAAGTTTTTTATACAAAATAAATCTACTTATTTTTCTATTGAAAAATCGAAAGCTTCAACTGTTTTTATTTAATAGAAGCTGAGAAAAATTAAAATGAATTATTTTTAAAACAGTGAAGAAATATTTAAATGGGGCGATTAATATTTAAATGAGGTTAACTTACAAGGAACTTGGCTAATGTGCGCTAAATGGTTGGCTAATGTAATAGAAGCTGAGAAAAATTAAAATGAATTATTTTTAAAACAGTGAAGAAATATTTAAATGGGGCGATTAATATTTAAATGAGGTTAACTTACAAGGAACTTGACTAATGTGCGCTTAGCATAAAATTTCATACATATTTTTTTCGCTAATAACAGATTGCTAACTCTTTTTTTCTAATTATAAAATATGATGTTACTTTTTCAGCTGCAAAAAATTTATTCGTAATTTAGTAAAGAGATTTGAATAAAACATTTTATTCAACGAATGTTGAGTTTTATGAAAGCATGTTTCTGATAGAATATGATTATACATTGTGATTGTGATTATATTTTACATTTTTAATAATCTTATTCTTTACGCTACCAAGTATATTAGTTTTTTCATTAATATGCAAATCAATTTTTTTTAGTACTTTAATTTAGGTTTTCTTTTCTAGAAAAATTCCTTTTTAAATTATTGTCAAGTTTTCGTTAAAAAGAAACTTAGAATTAATTGCCTGCTAACTTAGAACAAACATAAAGAGATGTCAAGTGAGACTTTTCGACTTTAGCACAATTCTCTAGACATTATCGTAGCATAATTTATTATTAGGAAAATGCCTTATTTTGTTAAACAGCAAAATACTAAAATTGAAATTTGTAAAAAGATTCCGAAGCTGCGCTAATTTTAAAATAACCATCTGATTTAAAAAATGTAATAAAAATTACGTACTTTTCAAACTGATTTTGATAATAAAAAAATTTTTAAAAACATTCCAATACGCAGCAAGAAAGTTATACTTTCTATAAAAACAGTGTATACCGATTTTTCCTAAATTTGGTCATAAGAGTATAAGAATGATATTGCTCCAATGAACCTACTCAATAGTTTTGTCATTTCCAGAATAAAAATATGTTTGGATGAAACACATTATCGCTTGAAAGCTAAAACAAGAAAAATTTACCTATTGGTAATTGTTCTTTTCAGATCTTAAAGCTTAGAAAATAATAATTTAAAAACTGAATAAAAATTTTAAAAAATCTTTGATTTTTGAAATCAGCTGAAAAATTATCTATTGCCTAGAAATTTCAAGATATTTTCTATCAACTATTAATAAATAAACCTGTCCAAACAATCACAGAACATTATTTTAACTTTTTTTTTTTTTTTGTTCACTGAACTTGGTCACTTAGCAATGGAATAAAATTAGGTATTCCTCTCTTAAATTCGTCTATGGGTTATCTTAAAATAATTATTTGCAACAGTGACTTTGCTTGCCTGTTTTTGTGACTATCGCTAAACATATATAACTTATTAGCCCCACAATTTATGATTCAATCTTTTCGGAATTTTGTCTTATTTTAAGAATCGGGAATGTAAAAAAATATATATATTTATGCTTATTCTAAAAAAGTGTGTTTTTGTGTCCGATCATGTAACTTAATTAAAGTTAACTCTAACTAATTAGCATATTTGAAGTCACCCTGAAAAACCATAAAGAATGACACTTAGAAAATGAAAATCGAAAGTATCCATTAGAACGAAAGTATCCAGGTTGATTTTTTTTTTTTTTTTGCGCACTGTACAGTATAGTTGCGAAGAGTATCATTATTGGTAATTAAAATGGCAATTGTAATTAACAATTTTAAACAAAGCATCTTTCCATCCTAAATAATTTAGTCTGGATACAGCATTCAACTAAATTTTAACAAAATTTCTAGTTTGAATAAAAAAATTTATTACTTTTTCTTTATACTAATAAAAATAATTACTACTAAAAAATACAGGCAAACAATAAATTTTCTTTAGTTCTTAATTAAAAATTATCCTTTAATGCAGAAACTATAATAAATAAAATTTTTAAAAAAATTTAAATTGTTTAAAAATTTTGATTATAATAATTTTGATATACTAATAACTTGGCAATTGAAGCAATAACTTTTGCAGAATTATTTTCAATTGGATGAAATAAAAATGTATGTAAAAAAATTTATTTTATTTCTAAAATCATTGAAAATATAACATAATCTAATGCAAAAAATTACATGTTTAAAATCTTTTACTCAAAAATTTAGTAAAATAAGATATAAATTTTTCTTATTTAAACAAATTATACCATTTTCTTCACCCGGCAATCTGTCTAGCTGACAAATACTAGCAATTAAATAAGGTGATTTTTCAGTGATGCGTTCAATTTTAAATCTACAAAGACCTGTAACAAGCAGTGTATATGCTGGCCTAGGCCAATTGGTACCAGTGACTTGAATTACAATACCAGCTGTACCAATGGAATGCATTACAGGTGAGTTTTCCTAAAAGTAATAAATAAAGATTACTAAATATAAACTAAACTTAACTACAATATTTAAAAATTTATTTTATTATAAAAAAAATAACCTTTATAAGTCATTTAGAGTTATAGATAACTTGACATAAAATTTCATAACACGCAGTTTCTTAATTATACACTTTTAGTTTTTTTAAACAAAACAATACAAATAATCTTGTTGTGCAAAAACTTAATTACTTTTAAGCATTTATTATTTTAAGAAAGTTTACAAGCTTCCAAAATTAAGTCAAGTAGTAAAAAGTTTGCTTCCTTAATAAAATATTTGCTTGTTTTCCACAAATATTGATGAACTAAATAAAAAATATCATGAAAAGGTTTTTTTTTTTAATTAATTTCAATGCCCACCTGTGTGAACATTTCATCAATTCAGGCATTTTGTAAGCCACTCTTTCAGGGGCACCATAATAGGTAGGCCGACGTTACTCCCACAGTAAGGACAGATAGTAGAGAATGAAAGAACATCCATGCCTTGCCCAGGATTCGAACCCAGAACTATTCCGAGGCAAGGCCAGTACCCTGACCCCTACACAATCTGGTCGGCTCATGAAAGAGTTAACTGTTAATTAATTTTTTGCTATGTTTGTATTCTGTTAAGGTTATGGATAAGTAACATTTAAGTTAATAGAATAATATGATTTAAAGTAACATGATTTTCATGTCTTGTTATAAATATCTAATGATTTGGCTTCAGAAAATTCTTTATGATAAAATGCTTTTATAAGTAGCTTGTTAATTTTTAAAATAGTTTAATATTTACACAAGCACAGAAATACCATAAATTTCTTATTTTATACATATTAGATCGACAAAATATTGTCATTTTGAATGACCATGTAGCAGTAGCAGAACTATTCATAATATTATTGACATAGATTGCATTATAAATTATTGAAATTAAAAAACATAAAACATTTTTTGACTAATAAATACATTTGTATTTCTATTACAGATTTGAAAATGCTTTGCTACTTTTTTTATTATAGGTGCCATTCAATTCTTTATTTATAACATATTTTAAAAATTAAGCATAATGAACAAACATAATTACATTTACTAATAAACATGAGCATCCATAATTTAATTGTAATAAATTCTAACAAATAATTAATTTACTAGGTCATTTTTTAATATGTGAACTTGATAACAATTTTAGCTATGGAAAGATTTCTGTATTGGTACCCATGCTAAAATAATTGCTTAGATTTGGTGACTTCCGAGCAGTGGCTCGAGAAAAACTATTTAAAAAACAATCATTTAAGAGGACCCAACTTGAAGGGCATAACTAGTAACCTCCACTAGAGAAGCCCTACATATTTTTTAAAAAATTTTTACAAGCTTAAAATACCTTTGGCAACTAGGCGATAGTAGTTTTATTTTATAATGAGTGTTGAAAAGCCAACACAATTCTGTGTTCATGACTATCTCTGTAGTCTCGTAATTTTGAACCAACCATGAAAACAAGGGATCTGCTAGACTAAGCATTGGGACAAACTAGCCTTTGTGGAAAACTTTTTGATGTAACTAATTTGCAATTACATGGACAGGGAAACCACGATTAGCCCAACAGTAAGGTGATTCTAACCGGTGATCCGTCTACTACTGAGGAAATGAACAGGTACCGATGCAAAAAAATATCTCTTAGCAATGTTTAACTCTTTATAAAGTGTTTAACTCTCTTTATAAAGTGTTTAAATGTTTAACTCTTTACAATAAAGCCCAATATATTTGAGCTTGTATAATGCAGAAGTATCAAAAGTTTACATATTAAAATGTTTATACAATGTTCCGATTAAAACTAACCACATGGCAAACTATAATGATATACAAAAAAGTAAGATATTGAATTCATACTTCTTCACAACGATGATGCTCTTCCTTTGGAACAACACCAATAATAGCACTACTCAAAGTACTTCTACTAAGTAGGTGGTTTCTAACCATATTCATACTGAAATAATAATCAAAAGAATTAGAAATCTTAACAGTTCAATAAGAACAATTCAGTTGAATTAAACCTAAAAAGTTTATTTATAGAGAAATTGGTTTAAAACTACCAAAAAGCGAACCTATATTTTGGCGAACCTATATGGTTCGCCAAAAAATAAAATAAAAACTCAAAAAAAAAATTTTTTTTAATTTTTCCTCAGGTGAACCCACAAATTTTGTTAAACTGGTTTTCCTCCAACCACTTTTTGTAAAACTTTGCACAGATAAATCTACTTAAGAAAACAGATAATCTTTGCACAGATAAATCTACTTAAGAAAACAGATAATCTTTGCAGAGATAATTCAGAGTTTAGTATTGGCAATCAAAATTAGCACACAGCAGAATTCTTTACCTATGGCAACAGTAGGCATGCGTCCATCATTGGTGTGTGGATTATCATGGAAGTATGTTAGTTTCTGTCTTGATTTTCAAACAGATTAAAAAATTTTAAGCTTGGAAACTCTATGGAAATCATAACTGAATTAAACATATTGCTAACAATAAGTTTAGAGGAAATTTTAAAATATTTTTGACAATTTAAATACAAAAAAAATATATCTGATCAGAAGGTAACAAGGAAGCTCTAGACATAAAATCCGAGTTTTCCCCAGAGGGCGTACTCAAGTCAGAGTTGGCAAGTTTTTGACAATTGGGGGTTTTATCCGGTTTTAATAGTCACGTCATAAAACCCTTTTTGACATAGTTTTTGGCAATTGTCAAAAACCCAAAATTTTGCCGTAAAGATAATTATTAGAAATATGAAGTATTTGTAATTAAACATACATATAAAATTACAAGTGATCAATTATTTATGTATCTCGAAATCAGGGTTGGCAGGTTTTTGACATGTGACAGTTTTTGACAGTTTAAACCATGGTTTAAACCGTCACGTCAAAAACCTCACTGTCAAAAATGTCGAAAATGTCAAAAACCTATATTCATATGTGAAATTTAATTAATACATAAAATTTATATATTTTTTA